TTTTTGTATATTATTATATACTATCAATTAAATGTAAAAGAACTAAAATGGATAGTTAATTACTTGATGCATTTAATCTCCCATTGAGGGCATGCTCAAAAAGTCCAAAACAATGGACCACCGGTGAGTGGTGACTTGGTCCGCCGAATGGAATTAGATTTAGATCCACTGATTATATGAGCCAATCATGGGCCGGCGCCGGTGCACCGTGAGTACATTCCGTGTGGCTCCATTGAACTCGTTGACCATTTTGCACATTCCTAAATATCTTAACTTTAAGCATTTTGTCACGTTCGTGTAGAATTTCTCTTCTTACACATTAAAACACACTGTTCGCATATATCCCTTGTAATATATAATATATATTCTCACAAGTATATTGTATTACTATAAATATCATGGGAATCACCTCATTGTAGAACACAACATAATCATGTCTCCAATTATGCTTTTTTCAATCATCTTCTTCCTTTGTTCTTTTTCTTGTTTTCCCCTCAATATAGGAGCTGCTGATTCTAAATCGATTTATGAATCATTCCTTCAATGCCTCACATCACAGCCACCTCAACACAACCCCACATTCTCCACCATTGTTTACAGCTCCGCCTTTAACTCCACCTCTTACACCACCGTCTTACAAGAATACATCAAAAACCGCCGGTTGAACAACACTTCCACACCCAAACCCGTCCTCATCATCACTCCGACTAAAGAATCTCACGTGCAGGCTACCATAATCTGCGCCAAGAAACTCGGTGTTCAGATCAAGATTCGGAGTGGTGGGCATGATTATGAAGGAATATCGTATATTTCATCAGAAAAGGATTTCATCGTGCTTGACATGTTTAATTTCCGTGATGTTAATGTCAATATCGCTACTGAAACTGCGGTTGTTGAAGCCGGAGCTCAGTTGGGTGAACTGTATTACCGGATATGGGAAAAGAGTAAAGTGCATGGGTTCCCCGCCGGAGTGTGTCCGACGGTGGGAGTTGGTGGACATCTAAGCGGCGGCGGTTATGGTACCATGCTTCGGAAATACGGGTTATCAGTTGATCACGTGATTGATGCCCGGATCGTTGATGCTAAAGGCCGGATTTTGAATCGGAAAACAATGGGTGAGGATCTTTTCTGGGCCATACGTGGCGGCGGAGGCGGCAGCTTTGGTGTTATATTATCCTACACCGTGAAATTAGTTCCGGTGCCGGCGGTTAATACTGTTTTCCGGATTATGAAAACGGTGGCAGAAAACGCAACGGACATCGTTTATAAATGGCAGTTAGTTGTGCCTCACATCGACGATCGTTTATTTATCCGAGTTCTTTTGCAACCGGTGACAGTGAATAAACTAAAAACAGGTCGAGCTACATTTGTAGCTCATTTCTTGGGTGATTCCGACGCATTGTTGGCTTTAATGAACAAAAACTTCCCGGAATTGGGTTTGAAGAAAGAGGATTGTCTGGAAGTAAGCTGGGTTCAGTCGATACTTTACTGGGCCAACTTCGATGTCAACACGACGGCAGTGGAGATCCTCCTCAATCGCCACTCCGATAACGTTAACTTTTTGAAACGAAAGTCCGACTACGTGCAAACCCCAATACCAAAATCTGGGTTGACCTCGATATTCAACAAGTTGGTTGAATTAGGTAAGATTGGTTTGGTGTTCAACCCTTACGGCGGGAAAATGAATGAACTGCCGGCGGACGCTACTCCATTCCCTCACCGTGCCGGAAACCTGTTCAAGATCCAGTACTCTGTGAACTGGAACGACGATGATCCGGAACTGGAGAAAAACTACCTTAATCAGGCAAAGGTTTTGTATAAGTTCATGACAGAGTATGTATCCAAGAATCCAAGAGGTGCATTCTTGAACTACAGAGATCTGGACATCGGCGTTAGGGCAGGAACCGGAAAGAATGGTTACAACTCCGGCAAGGTTTACGGGGAGAAGTACTTCATGGGGAACTTTAACAGACTAGTGATGGTGAAGACTGCTGTTGATCCAGATAATTTCTTTAGGAATGAACAAAGCATTCCTACTCTTCCCGGAAAAAGCACAGGCAAGCCGAGGAAGATGACGACTTTAACTTAGAACCTAATTTTTCTAATTGTGTGTGTCCTATTAACGAAAGAAAATATTAATTTATGTATCAATGTTGGAAATCGAATCTGATATACGCCATATGTGGCTTTGAATAGGAAATTTGATTTGAATTTTATTTTGTAGGCACATGTTTGGAAAAGAAAATGTGGTATCTATATTCATGTAGGCATATAAATGTATTGCTATTCAAATAATCCATGAATAGGAGACTGGAATATGATTTGATGTATTCAAAGCTAGCAAAGTTCCAAACATAAAAAACATCGAAAAGAACAATATCAAGTAAATAACAAATACACAATCCACATCACACAAGGTTCATGAATCATGACCTATAACGTCCATAACTATATTAACACAGGCAAATCAAGAAAATGAACCTAAAAGAATCATGATTGACAATATATATATGACCAACAGCGTAATTTGGTGATACACATCAGTTCCTATTCACAACCATTCGAGAATTGAGAATGACAAGATGAAGAAGCCTTATCACGAGTTCTATGCGGCTTGGCCACGATTTTTTGTGGGCTCGGTATCTCGCATGTTGGCTATTGGTTCTATACTTGATGGTCTTCTCTGTGGTTTAGCTATTGCTTCCCAATGTCGACTACTACCGTGTAGATTGAGTGATGGAGGATTTGTTTGTTCGACAAAAATGTCTTACTCGTCTTGGGGTAATATGTTGGCTACCGGATCATCATCATTGTATGTGGAGGTCTCGTATGCTATTATTTGTTAAACTATTGAGAAATGGAATAAGGATGGGAACTTTGGTGTATGTAATTGGAAGATAATTTGTTTTACCACTAATTGGTATTATTTGGTCGGTTTTGCTCTCGAGCAACATGAACAATGTACGCCACCATAAGAGCTTGAGGAAATGAGATGATGTGCATTAATTTGTACCTAGTCTATTGTCGAGGGTTTTGGTATAAGATCGAGGAGTCATATTTGAAGAATTCATTAGCTAAAATGTTAGTTTTTTTTAAGTTAATTTTCTATTACAATTTAAGGGAAGTACCAAGTATTAAGAACCAATTGACTATACTTGATTGTCTCGTCATGAGATCCAAGAAAACAAGTTTGAAGCATGACATTGATCATTTAGCTCTAGTTTTATTACTTTCACTTCCTGCTAGATATACCGATTTTGTTAATAGCCTAATATATGGTTGGGAAGCCATAACACTATTTGATTTGAATGGATGTTAAATATGGTTTAGGAATATAATAGTCTAGTAAAAAAGGTAATACTTATGGGTGTTCCAAATTGTGAAAGCTCACAAAGGGAAGTTTATCATAGAATAAAGGTGTAAGCCATTCTTGTAGAATGACTATTTGGTAGCGATTGTTTGGAGATTTACAAAAAAGTTGAAAATCAGAATAGCTCGTTTGTGATTATTTATGGTGAGGCTTTTGAGAATAGCTCGTTTGTGACTATTTATGGTGAGACTTTATGTGCATTAATGGATACTCTAGTGAACAAATGTTTTGAGTACCAGCAAACATTCGTAGTCTTTTGACTGGACTAAAAAAAACTTTTGTTTGATCGATGATTGTATATAGGGGTGTAAGTGAGCCGAGCTACTCGTGAGCTACTCGGGATCGACTCGTTAAAAACTCGACTCGAGATCGAATTAAACGAGCCTGAGCCGAGCTCGAGCCTAAATATGAG